AAATTCATTTCATGTCGTTTGCTTGCTAGCTTGTTAAGGCAAAACTTTTTCTCTCCCTATCACAAAACTACAGTGTCAGTAAATTCATATAGTAGTCGTTCCATTGAGAGACACCCCCTACTAGCTTAGGGAGAACAAAAATTTACAGGTTGGATTTTGAAAATGCAAAAAAACATGCTTCAAATTAATATTAGATTAATAACAAGGAACAAACAAATATTTCATGCTTGTTACGAGCAAATGTGGATGGAGTCATTTTCTTTATGTATGCTCGCATCAATGAATAAAGTTAATTAACTTCCTTACGACGCAAGGCATGACAAGGAAGAAAAGTCATAAATTTTATCTCCTGACAAAGTGTAGTAATGTGCTTTACACACAATTTTGTGGTGACCTCACAGCTTAAGAATCGACAGAGAAGAAGAAAAAAGTGAAAATCTTCATGGCAATAAAGTGCGCAACAAAGGAAAATAAAAATGAGGGACAAAGAAGTAAATGATTCTACTTAGAAATTCAGGTCACAAATGGCATACCAACAAGTTAATAATGATTTCAGCAGAAATTTTTTTCCTGTTCATCTCGTCGATAATTTCTTTCTTCTGCTTCTCTTTTTGTGGGGGTCGTTCTTATCTGACGTCTGGAAGTGGATGTTGAGATTGTCATTCTCTTAATCCAGCATTGATTTGACAAATAGTAAATGTAGTGAAAAATTTACAATTATCTGTGTTCGAATCCTTAGCTCATTTGGAATGATTTTGAAGGTTTTTGTATTAAATTCTTAAACTTCACAAGAGGAAGTTTCTGGATTCTTTAAGAAGTCAATGCTGTAGCATTTTTAAGGAGTCGTTCATTAATGATGTACAACTCATAAGGGTAAGGGGGATAAATCTTGCTAGGACCCAGCCTTTTAAACTACGGGTTTTGCGATTATAATTGTTTGAGGTAAGGAGACCTTATAATTAAACACTTCTCGACCCATAATTGTGAGAATGAGATGGTTCACCATCCCACAAAAAACAGGGAGATACACAGGTTGATATAGCTTCTTCCTTCAGGGTCTCCATTGCTGCAAAACGTCATTTGCATACGATCCCACTTGATTTTCCTTCTTCATTCTCAGTCCTCATCAGCACGAAATGTATTTGAGATATGTTTGTGTGTTCTTCAATAATAAAAGAAGGAAAGAAAATCATCATCAGAAAATAATTAGGTATTATTGAAAGTATGAGTGTGGATGACAAAGTGATGCTTCATTGCAGTTTTATGGTTTTATTAAAGATACATTTCTGTGAGCTTTAATGTGATTTTATTTTTAAATACTTTATTTCTGTTTAAACTTTCTTCTTTAGGTGAATATTCTCCGTCTTTTGATTGAGCAGATACAGCTTGTATACAAAGGTTTTAAAAATAAAAAATGTATTTTGGGACTTAAATGAATCTTTTTTTCTGAAAGGTTTCGAACCTTAGCAACTTAAATCAATGCTGTTAATAGATGCATGTAGCATACTGTATTTTCGAATCTATAACTTGTAAAATCACTAATTTAAATCACAAAACAAATTTAAAAAATTCACAATTAATTCCCAAATGCGCTTCCAGCATCAATAAAATAATTTATTAAATCATAACTTTTCTTGCCCCAATTTCCATCGTTTAGTATTCGATAAAAAGAATCTTTTTTTTGTATCAAACATAAATTTACATATAAAAATCGATGATACTTCCTTGCTCTTTCATCTCCTCCTTTTCATGGTGCTTTCTTTGATGAGAAATCACAGTGTTCCATTATCAAATAATAGTAACCATAAATTTTCATTTAATATTATATTTTTATGGAAGGAATCTTTCTTGCGTAGGAGTAGAGGAGGGGATTTTTGGGTCATTCATTTATGATGTCGATATATTGCTGGATACATGGCTATTCTGATTATTGGGATGCCTATAATTAGGGTTATTGCCCCATCTGATCCAGGTTATTCAGTTATTTTATTTTATGATCAACAGAATTTTCAGGGGGGGGGGGGGGGGGTACGATGTGCTTGGCTATTTTTAAATTAATTTTTGTTACTTTTTTAAGACCTAAGATTTAAGATGTCTTGACTTAATTAACCTTCGTCCCCCCCATTCTTTTTAAATGATCACTTAACTTACCTCCTAGACGTCACTTACGCACCAACCCCACGATGTTATTCAAGAAGAATTTCTCCTTTGCATCATCATCATCAGTAGGGTAAAAAAAAAGTAAATATAATGGATGTGAAGATACATATAAATAAAGTAATCAATCGGAAATTCCCTCAGCACAGCCTCGACCTTTTCTTTTTCATTATTAGTGAAAAATTGCAAGCCGTAAGAAAATATTATGAATTTTTTATATATTTATTTTGCTGGGGTTTTCTGATCGTTTTCATTTTTCGAACACTAATTTCACATTACAAAAAAATAAATAACTTTAACTTGATTTATGGCGCACTTTCCTTTTGCGGTTATTTCCTTCAATCCTTTTTTTTATACTGATTCAATTTCTTTGCCTGGCTTGGGTATGGAATATATTTTATGTATGGTACGATGAGTGTGTGCCTGCTGGTAAAAGATGAAACGAAATTTTTGCTTTATTTCATTCCAATGTCAGGTAGTCCCAGTGCTTCTCTCAACTTCATGACTTTTTCATTTTGCCTCACACCACAAAAAATGAAAATTATAATTTATATGGGGATGAAATCCTTTATTTCATTTTGTTGTTGTCAGGAAAGGAAGATGAAATATTTTCGATGCCAAATCAAGCAAGAATTTACTTCAACCTTCATCTTATGGTGCTCCCCTACTAATGCACTGTACGATATTAATAATTTCTTATGTAAAGGAAATAAATCAACGCACTATATTGCCATGGCACGCTTGCTGAAAAAGAATGTTTTTATTTTTTCTTTAAAAAAAGGAGACGAGCAGGAACGGAAGTAGAAAATATTGAAGAGATCCCAGAGTTTCTTAAAAGTAACTAAATAGAGCGGAAAGGAATGTGCTGTGTGTATGTGCGTTTAATTAAAAAATGAGGGAAAAAAATCTGGGTCGATATGCTTGGGATGTTGATGATGATGATTTAGGGGCATGAACTGTGGCAAGGTGGGGATCCTGAAGAATTTTTGAGTTTTGGTTATTTTTTTGGTTTAAACTGTTGGATTTTGTAAATTTTAACGGTTTTGTAGTTTTTGAATTTTTACGGTTTTGCAGAATTCAAATTTTAACGATTTATAAAATTCAAAGTATAACGCTTTTCAAAAATTCAAAATTTAATGGTTAAAAAGAATTCAAAATTCAAATTTATCAAGTTTCAAAAATTCAAAATAAGACGGGTTTCAAAAAATCAAAACGAAGCGATTTTCAAAAAAAAAATCAAAATATTACCAGCTCAAAAGAGTTTAAATACAACCAGAATCTGAAGTCAACAAGCAGAAAAATTCAGAAATGAACTCAAAAATCACATTCCCTTGCCTCAAAAAAACATTCAATATTGGCCTCTTCAGTGCGTAATCTGGAACTAATTTTCTCAACTCCTCCTATACATGAATTTTGAGTCTCCCCGTTTCTTTTATTTATTTAAATGCCGTAAGACAAAATATAGAATAAAAATAGGCAAACAGTCTTGGCAATAATTCATCATTATTATTGTCTTGTGAAGCATTTCAATGTTATATATTTCCTTCATAATTAGTAAGTTTGTATTTTTCATCCTCTTGCTCATTTCACTGTCTTCATACTCCGTGAAAATAAATAATAAAAAAAGTCAAAAAGTCTTTTATTGTGTGTATCTCTAATAATATTGCTTCTTGAGACTTAGCGCCTCCGCGCACATTCTCATAGCATTAACTTTTTTGTGTTACGTGTAGGGAGGAAGTTTTTTGTGATATGATTTATGTCATAAAAAATTCTTAAATTAACTTGTCATCGTGTTTTTCATTATCATGAATTTCGCTTCGTTTTGTTTGTTTTCTCTTGAAACTTTTTTTTTTGTTTCATTCCTAAAGTACTTAAAACATGAAAACTGAATTAAGCGTCAATTTATCATCTTTTACTGCTCATGATTTTTAATGTTTTTGTTTATTTTATTTTTTTTTTGATGACATTTTTTTCTCCATAATTAATGAAAAAAAATTCTTCTTAATTAACTGGTAATTTTCGCTTATTTACATGTTTATAAAAATATATAAAATTGTCATGGTTGTGACAATATTTGGATGTCTATTAAATAACTGTTTCATGAGTGGACTATAAAATTATATGGCAAACAGTCAGCACTTTTGGTCTCACTCTCTTGTGCCTTTTGATGGTATTTTTTTATGAAACAAACACAATCCCGAGTAAATTATTGACATGAGGGGTGATGCTGAGAGGTTACTTGCTTTTATTTTTTTGGAGGTTCGTCTGAAGTGATTTATGTGATGATGATACTTGGATAATGCAGTATGGGTTTTATGAGGTTGTTCACTTTTGTATGATGTCCAGAATTTTGAGGTGGAGATGGTCTGATGCTCTGAAATATTTCAATGAGCTTGAGGTATGGCGAGGCAGGAAAGATTCTTTAATAGGGCTGATCCATACTACAGTGAGATAAACTGACATTAATGGAACAAGCTTCTAGAGCTACCAGAAGCATGACATGAAATTTAATGGTCACTACGCAAGGTGCCCTGTAAAGCCTTGTCAAACGGCCGCAGAACCCTCTATGCATTAATTCCACGAACTGCAGTCTGGTACAGCTACCAACAAGATAAATAATATATCACCCATCTACAGCTCGGAACATTCCTTTGCCCAAGCTACAATTGTGTTGGTGGAAATTTCCCATTCATGTAGATAATTATCTTTACGTCCTACAGAAATTTTGATAATAACAAACAGTGTGGCCTTTATCTACAGATAACAAGCGACATTTTAATTCACATTTAAAATCTCTATAATCCTCTGTTTGTGAGATATGAGATATCAATCAGATAAAGGCATTTTTATAAAAAGGCTTGCGTCTTGAATATTTGGCTTTATTCTTTGAGAAATGTATAAGTTTCTCCTTTTAGCTGCTGTGCTTGCAATTGCCTACGGGCAGGTAACATTCTAAGAATTAAGAAGTGATTGGAATTTGAGGAGTTTTGTGGTTCTGTGAAATTATTGAGGTGGAATTTTTAAGTTAACAGACAATAATCTAGAAATTTAAGATCTTAACGTGGTTCATAAACCTGTGAAATGTGTCAATCATGTGGATAAATGTAAAATTTTGGTGGGAGTGACTTTAAGTTTTGTGATAATTTGAACTGGACTGTCTATGAAGTTTACATTTCAAAAGTAACATTTATGGATGCTCATTCTTCTATGAAAACTGAATAATGCGGCCAAAGAGTCAAACCAAACTCACATTTGATGTTGCCATCAAATTAGTCTCGTAAATTAATTCCAGGGCCGGTTTCTAGGGCTACTCACCATAACTACAGTCATTCTTCAATTTAATTGTCAGAGGATTTTCAAAAAATTATCATATTAAGCTTAGAAAATCCTGGATAGCCGTAGAAACCGACCCCTATTGTATGATCTTGTCACTTCTATGCCGATCAATATTCGTAGTACTGGTCATTCAACTCACATTCACTCAAGCCATTCCTCACTCATTTTTGCTAGTTCTTCATAAATTCTTCAAAACACAAAATCTATGACGTCCTCCTTCGTCATTAATTTCATCACAAAATTCACAAAAAGAAAAATTCCAACATCAAAAGACACTCCAAAAAATTTCCAACAATTTTTCAACCCACAAAACAAAAATTCTTCCAAAATTAATCATAAAACATTCCACAGGATCGTCCAATTGTGACAATTCCCCAAGGTCAACTTCAGGGAATAAGAACATCGTCGGGTATTACTCAAGCTACATACCTTGCATTCAAAGGAATTCCTTATGCAGGTAGGAAATGGAATTAAAATCAACAATCTTATCTTTTTTTCAACATTATTAAATTTTAATAATTTACTTGAAATAACAGAACCACCAGTTGGTGCCTTGAGATTTAGAAATCCCGTTGCTCATCGTGGATGGAGTGGAGTACGTGATGCTTCGGCACATGGAAATTCATGTCCAAGTTCTGGATGGTAAATTTTTTCTTCTATAGCTTTAATGTGATTAAATTTAAAGAAAATTGATGTTGTTAGGTTTGGATTGGAGGCAGGCGGTGGAGAAGATTGTTTGTTCCTTAATGTTTATACACAATCATTGACTGCCAATAGACCCGTTATGGTACGAAGGTTATTTTTATAAAATTTTCATCACGAAAATAATTTTGTTCTTTTTTTCATCTATAAAAAAATCCTCGATCCGCAAAAAAAGGTTTGGGTAAGTAATTGAGGATTAAAAATTTACGGCATTATGTTTTAATGAAAATAATTGATCCAAAACAGATACACGGTGGTTCCTTTACTGGCGGTAGTGGTGATAGCTTCATTTATGGACCAGATTTTTTCATTAACGACGGAAACGTTGTTGTTGTTACCATAAATTATCGTCTTGGAGTGTTGGGCTTCCTTTCAACTGGAGATGCTGCTGCTCAAGGAAATTGGGGCATGAAAGACATGATTACAGCTTTACAATGGGTCAGAAATAATATCGCAAGCTTCGGTGGAAATGTCAATCAAATTACAGTTTTTGGTGAAAGTGCTGGCTCAGTCGGTGTAAGTTTGACGTCATGACTTAGTCTTATATCTATTTTAATCCAAATTATTTTGTTTTTAAAGGTTCATTATCTTCTCTTGACAAGACTTGGCACTGGAGTAAGTATCTTATCTTTTTTTATTGATTTTCAATCCTTAATTAATTTTATCTTATCCATTAAGCTCTTCAATCGCGCGATCATGCAGTCAGGTGTTACAGTGGCACCATGGGGCTTCCAGCCAAATCCACTGAGTGAAGCAACAAATCTTGGACGTAGATTGGGACTTACTTGGTCATCAACAACTGATCTTGTCAATCAATTGAGAAATATTCCACCCCAAAGACTTGTTGATAATCAAGGTGGATGGCTTGACTTGACAATTCCACGTGGATTCTCACCATTTGAATTCGTACCAAATGTAGAACCAGCAAATTCACCTGAAAGTCGATTCCTTACTGATACACCAGTCAATATTATGAATCGTGGTGATATCCTTACAATGCCAATCATCATTGGATTCATGTCTGTCGAAAGTTTGTTCATGGTTCGTGAACATTTGTTTGATGACACAACTTTAGCTCAATTTGCAACAAATCCACACTTCTACGTACATCCATCATTCAACCTTGCTCCAACTCAAACAACACAGGTTAATGAAGTCGCAACGACAATGAGAAATATGTACTTTAATGGCGGTCATCCAACTATGGAAACTCGCTTCAATTATTCGCAATTTATGAGCGATCACCATTTCGCATACTCAATCGATCGATGTGTTCGTTATCATGCAAGACGTCAGACTCAACCAATCTACTATTATAAATTCGACTTTGATGGTTCATTAAATATGATTAAGAGATTATTGCTTTTGACGGTGAGCATTAACATTTTATTTACACGTTTCGTATCGCACTGATTTGTGTCTGATACGATAACGAGTATTTTGTATGAATATCTGATAATGAGTTTGAGATTGACATTTTCTGAGTTATCTCGCAAATCTGTCAAGATCGACACATCAGACCCGAGCAGTCCACTTCCTAATTGATGCCTTGTTTTCAAAATGGTTACATAAAGAAGCCCTAACGAATATGTAGTACTGCTCGGGAGGAATCAATATAATCGAACTTTATTAATGCTCATTAAATTTATTTTATTCAGGACTGGCCTGGTGCAGTTCATGCTGATGTAAGTACTCAATTGTTTCCTGATAAGCAACTGTTGTAATTTCCCATAATTTCGTAATTTTCAGGACATTTTCTACATGTTTGACGTTACACGCTTCCCACTTCCAATGCTCCCAACAAATGCTGCTGCCTTGACAAGACGCAGAATGGTCAGAATGTGGACAAACTTTGCAAACTTTGGAGATCCAACACCAGTCACTGACTCATTGATTCCAACCAGATGGAGCCGTTATACATTGGCTAATGAAGAATATTTGGACATTAATGAAGGCTTGTCTGTTAGAAGTGCACCTTATGATGGTAGACTTCATCCATGGCATTCTTTCCAAGATAGATTTAATCCATCTTATCTTAGTTAAGTTTTTGAGAGTTCAAAGGAAATGACTTATGAGATATTTGATATTGTTCCTTAATTTACAATAAACAGCTGCAAATATTTAAAAAAATATTGGATTATTAAACTTATTAAACTGAATTGGGAATGTGTCGGGTATGGTGTCTTGGCATTTGCCTGATTCTAGACTTATCTTATGTTTGTTGTTTTATCTACTCTCAGCTTTTATCTACTTTTAGCTAAAATATACTCTTATCTTAGACCTAACCTTATCCCACACCTAACCTTATCCCACACCTAACCTTATCCCACACCTAACCTTATCCCATACTTAACCTTATCCCACACCTTACCTTATCTCACACCTAACCTTATCCCACATCAAATCTTATCCCACACCTAACCTTATCCCACACCTAACCTTATCCCATACTTAACCTTATCCCACACTTAACCTTATCCCATACTTAACCTTATCCCACATCTAATCTTATCCCACACCTAACCTTATCCCACACCTAACCTTATCACACACCTAACCGTATCCCATACTTAACCTTATCCCACACCTAACCTTATCCCACAACTAACCTTATCCCATACCTATCCATATTCACTATCTCAACCTACTTTCGAGTTTATACACACCTCCCAAAGTGTATACTTAAGGATAGATGTACGTTTAGGAGTAAACCATAAAACCTACCCCAGATCTGAATTTATTTACAAAAAATTGTGTTTATCAGCAAACAAATGCCTTACTAATTTCTGTGTACTGGAAAGTCCCAAAAACTTATTTTGATTTTTTTAAAATACTGAAAATTCCCGTTTTTAATTGAAATTCATATTTGTCTTTTGATAGCTGTAAGTATTTCAATAAAAATTGATAACAGCAAGCTCCTACAAAGAAATCAATATAAGTTGATAAGGAATGAGATGCTGCAGTCTATTCGTGTCGATTTCAGTACAATATTTAATTTCCAAGTGTGAAGTTCAGGGAATAATTGAATTAAAAAATAATAAGAAAATGATGATTAAATTGTGAGTTGATTATTTTTTGCATTGCTTATAGCAGCTTAATTAAGTTCGAGATGGATTATTCAGTGATATAGCTCTAGTTCGATATATATGGACATCATTATTCTCTTTACATGATATCAACTCCCCGAAAGGCACACGCGTTAATGCCGTCCTCGACTCAGCCATTTTTACACTGTGTGCCTTTCGGGACAGCACACGTCATAAAAAATTTTATATTATTTTAATTTCTTTATTTATAGGATTCAACTATTGTTAATAATAGTCATTTTCATAACAGCTAATGTCCTAGCTCAAGATAAAATTTGCGATCGTGACTTAACAGATCCATCTTCATGCTCATTTAATGGAATCAAAGTTCCTGATGAATTATACAAATTGACACCATTTAAAGATATAAAATTTGCAGAAGTTAAAAGAATTAGGTTCAGCGATTCAAGGATGTATCATCTGCCTAGTGAAGTGACTAAAACGTATGTGAATGTTCAGGATCTAGATATTTCCAATACCCACATCTCAAGATTTGATGGAATGGATTTTAGTGATTCAAATATATTGATTAAATTAAATGCATCACGTAATGCAATCCATTCATTGCCGAAGGGTTTAAGCAATAAGTTCCGTTATATGCAAAATATGGACATATCAAATAATTTTATAGAACTCATTGAAACTGGAGCATTTAGCTACAACAAAAACTTGACATACCTTAATTTATCGAATAATCTTATTGAAGTAATTGACCGAGAATTCCTGATAGCCGTAAGAAGTGTCAAGATCCTGCATTTAAGTTACAATCGAATCTCAGAAATTCAAGGTGACTTGACAGACATTCAATTTGATATCGAGGAAATTTATCTTAATGACAATCAGTTGAAGACTATTGATCCATTAATGATTAAGTCCTTGCTAGTTCTTGACATTAGCCGTAATCGATTAGAAGGACATTTCAACTTCCTTGAAGCAAAATTCATAGAATTAAATGTTCGTGCTAATTTCATCGAGACTCTCAACGTCAGCACAATTTTAGAGAAACTGGATGCATCAGACAGCAATAACAGGATGTTTAAAATCAATTTTGGAACTGGATCTTGGTTGAAGGAATTGAAATTATCAAATTTAGATATTGTTGATTATGATCATTTATTGAATCAAATTAAGCATCTTGCCAACCTTGAATCACTAGATTTGTCACATAATAACCTAGAAAGTTTTGATTTTGAGGAAGTTGCAAAATCCTTGGAAGTTCTGAACTTAGAAAGAACAAATTTAAGAAAGATTGACAATTTAAATTATGTAAAAATTTTAATACCAACTTTAAAGGAAATCAACATACAGGACAACTTATTTGACTGCTCTGAACTTCCGAAAATTCTTAATGACTTCAAACAACATAAAATCAATGTCACAGGCTTAATAGATGGACATTTAAATGAATTTGTAGAAAAGAACTGCGCACCACCAAGTCACCGAGGAGATCATCAAGTTTGTCAAACGGGAAGTTCAGGTGCATTCATATTTTTTTTTGTGGTTTCAATCTTTGGAAATACTTTGTGTGCTGTTGTATTTCTGCTCTTTAAATATAGAGGTTTTGGCAAGAATCCTTCGCAACTATTGATGCGAGATTTTTAAGGATGTCACATTTTTAATGAGTTTGGATACCTGAGTAACCCACCCCATTAATTACACAGTTGTAATATTAATCATACGCAAACTTAATGGACATCCAATTTATTTATTTTACATGCAATAAAACTTTTTTTTAAACAACCACACATAGACACACCACCTGAAAGTGCCACAACTACAGTTTTATTTTTATGTCACAATGCTGATACATTTTTTATTAAATGAAAATTAATAAAACATCAGAATTGCAATTAATTTTTTTTTAATTGTTAATTTTAATAAATTATGCAGTGCATTTATTTTTACTGCTGATATTTGTTGGTGCATTACTGCGTGATATTTTAATATTCATGATTGTTGAAAATGAAAATATCTGCATTTAATGATTATTGTATTGTGAGAAAAATTCAATGAATTTGTAAAGGGGTTGTTCACTTATGACGTCCGAATTTAACGGTCATTTTTGATAAAAGAACAATTGATTTCCAGGAATTTCTATTGTTCTTTTCTTGCTGACCCCCCCCCCCCCCCTGGACGTCATAAGTGAACGGCCCCAAAATAAAAAAGTTTGTTGAGTTTTTTTTTTCAATTATTTAAATTTTAATGATGGATGTATGGGTGGAGTTTTGTATGGATGGATGATCTCCTGTGGGATAGTCATACTAGTTTTGTGGGCTTTTAAAATTATTATCAACTTAGTAAGGGGCCGTTCACTTATTACGTTCGCATTTTAGGGGGGAGGGGGGTGGCTTGAAAAATTGTAACAAAATGTAACATAGGGGGGGGGGGGTTGTCAAGAATTATATACCGTTCTAAATGTCATCTGTCTTTTAAAAAAAAGATCACGAAAATTTTTTTTACAAATTCACACAAAAACATTTTTTTAAACTTTCCACCTTTTTTAATGATTTATGAAAAATTATCAAAATAAAATAAATTGTGAACGTTCACGGGGGGGGGGGGGGGTTGTGAGGAGTTGTAACATATTGTAACAAGGGGGGGGGAAGATTTTTTTTTGCTTAACGGTAATAATTGAACGGTGAAGTTCAATTCAGAGCCAAAGCAATTAAGATGGTCTAAAAATTGAAAATTCAAAAACTATTCGAAAAAAAATTTGAATTTTTTTTTCGACCGTTTTAAATTGAAGTTCAATCAATTTCATAATCACAATCAACCACATCAAGTCAACTGCAAAAATTCCCAATTCTAAACCATCAGACTTCATAAATTCACAACACACGACAAACAAAATTGTTTTGTCAAATATTAATGAGCCATTTAGACAGATAATAATCACAATAGAGCAATAATAATTTCAAATGACATTACATGGATAATTTACATAAAATTTAATTGCGCATAAAATTTAATTATACATCAATAATTGTCATCATCAAAATCACTATGATCGTTAATAAAATAGTCAGTAATTCACGTCGCAATGAGATTATTGCTGCTAGTCTAGTGACACAGCACACTAACCTCTCATCCAATGCTGCTGTCGGACTCAATCGAAGCTTAGTCACTAATGAATGTTCATCATATGTTACAGTCATTGTTGAACTTAAAATCTCATTTTAAAATTAAATACATTTTTCTTCGTCATTCTCAGTATGCGCGAATGAGAAGCATTGAACTTTAAATTACTGCTTGTGTTTTAATTTACAGCAGCAGAAGCTATAACAGCATCAATGGATATTATTTATAAAAAATTTTCGAAGTCATTAAAGTTAAAAGCAAGAGAAAAGTTAAAGAAGACAAAAAATTATTGAAGCTTAAAAGGAAGGTTGAGGTTTTGTGATTTATGACGCACTTTATAGATTATGGAGTCGAGACAGGGTGGAATTCTAGGGTTTGAGCGATATGTAGGCTAGTCTGTCAGTTTGAGGGTAAGAACTCTATGTCTAAGTGGTTAAGCAGCACACTATCGGCATGTGGACTTCTTTCTATGAGGTCGCGGGTTCGATTCTCACTAGAACAGAGAATCAGGTTGTAAGGCTACAGTTTAAAGCTAAAACAGTATCAAGATGGTCATTTAGACCCCTTTGACCTAAGCATACTCAAAATAACTCAGCTGATCAAGTGGAACCAGCACCCCAAAGTGACTGCACGACATCCTCCATCTTTTAATAAAATAAATCCACAACAAACGGCAAACCATGCAATTATAGATTGACATAATTTTCGTCATGATAAATGACCAGTTTTTTATATCAAAAGGAGAGCACATTAACGTGATGATCATTTGCCATTTTAATGGCACTGCCATTGTAAAAGATTTGTCGACTCAACGACGAGCGTTGAATTGAGTACGGCGGTGTTGAGACTAAAGGAGCATTTTTCTTTATCATCATTTTTGTCGAGAAATATTGGAAGCAATTAAGAAGCCTTTTTATTGTGACTTAATAATTAGTCACTTACATTAAACTGAGTCTCTATGTTATCGTGTTATGAATTGCGGATTAACGGGTATTATAAGCTAGTATATTTTGCATTTTATTCTTATTTCATTGATCGATGAATGTTTTTTCGCACTTTACTAAGTCAGGAACAGAAGAAACTTTCTCTACACACACACACACACACACACACATACACACACATTGCGTACCGTTAGAAGTGATTAAGTCTTTAATTTTGCTTAATTAGACATCATTATCAATACACTTCTCGCTTCTTCGTTCTTCTTTCTTGCTTTCTTCATGCGGAGGAGCTGGCATACACATTAAATACTTTTTAACATCACATCTTAATCATTTAATGTTTTCATTTTTTAAAACATTTTTTTTTCTTTCTCTTTTTAAGAACGTGTAAATAAATGGAATGGGTTAAATGAGTTTGCATTGTCTGGTGATGACTTCATTTTGGCTTAGAGATTTTTTTTTTGGAAAGATGCTTTGATTTATAATCAGTAGTTTCAAGGCTTTACTAGGTTGAGGCACTGAAAATAGAAAAGTATAATTTACTTTGAATGATGTAAGTTCGAATCCCACACATTTATCATCATGAATCAGGAATAGTCGATGTGTGTACTGCTGTACAGTGTTAGAGATGCAAGATGTAATAAATTTGGCAAAAGTGTCATTAATTCAGGTATGATTTTTCTCAGAAGCATTCTATCAAGTCCTTTTTATCGATTTCTAAGAACAGTAACTTGGACAGGTTCTCACAAGATATGCAAATTGCCCTGTTCCATCCAATAAAAAAAATCCAATTTAATTTCCAATTAATCATGACAATTAATCGTGTAAATGATACATCACAATAGCCCCTAGCTACCAATAAAAAAATTAATTCAAGTCAAAACAATTCGCCTTTCACATCATCATTCATCCATAAGCACTTCCAAACTTGTCGTTGCTTTCTTCCATGAAAAATGATGATTTCGAGTACCAGAAAAAAATTAATATCTTTTTTTTCTCATATTTGATGTTCTCTCATACGCGTAATATCAGCTACTAAGGAGAATAAGAGAAGTGAGCAGCGAAGCAAGCAGGCAGAATCAACTTTTGTGATTCTTTTCAGTTTAAAACAAGAAAATAATATAAAATAAAAATCCTCGAAAAAAATATTCACATTAAAATCCGATATCATTTGCCTCGCGGCTGTTTTTTCATTTCCTTCCATTTTTCAGATATGGGACGTTCAACAGTGATGTATGCAATTATTCTGGTGATCTGGAGTGGGATTCTTTGTGTATACTTGCAACTCTATCTTTGCCTTCACCTACTATTGGCTTAGGTGTCGGTATGGTATGCCCAAAGGTGGGTGTAGATGCAATAGCAAGTGTAGGCACAAATGGAGGCATATAAACTCCATTCTGCCATCAATTATGCTGTGTCATGCCCTTAAAATTGATCAGGAGCTTAAAAAATCCAAAAAAATAATAGAAATCATTTACGAACATCCCCTTACGCCTATGTACAGAATGAAAGAAGCAAAAATACAGCAGCGAAGCTAAAAAATAGAAATACGAAAATACGAAGTGAGCACAGAAATGTTTATCAATGGGGAAATTAAAAAGTTACAATGCTCCTAATATTATATATTGAGTAATGTTATTTCATTTCGGTAACAGTGGGTTTGCCTTTTCGTTATCTGAATGCCTCGCGGATACAAACGGGGTTGATATTTTCCTGTTGTTGCTCGCTCTGCCTCGCTTGTCGTATATACGCATTATAAACATATCCATCGATAACATGAAAATAAATTTCTCCCCATGACGCCCGTTAAATGATATTCTTTCCTCTTTCTACTTCATCCTCGTTCACTCGTTCTCAACATAACCAAAAAAAAATATGATTTCACATCGATTCGCAAACATTGTAGACTTTATAATGTTATAAATCGAATAATATGTGTATTATATCGTTGTTGCTATTTGGGTCCATATTGCCATCAAATTCGATTATTTAATTTGACAAAGAAATTCGTCTATATTCGATATCATCTATAACCCACAGAGAGGGAATTTTTTCGTGCTTTTGTGTGCTGGAGGTGTGGCATTTGGGTCAGAAGAGAAGGTTCATGTGGATATCAGAGATGTACTAGATTTTTGCGTTAGTATATTTGGAGATAAATGTACCAGAATTGTAAAATAGAAGCTTCTATGGAAAAGTACTAGATTTTGTTAATAAAAATTACTAGATTTTGAGGATATAAATTACTAGATTTTGAGAATATAAAGTACTAGATTTAACATTGAAAAGTACTAGATTTTTTGAATATAAGATTTTGCAAATAAAAAGTGCAGGATTTGAAAAATAAAAGGTACTAGATATTTGATATTGACAGTAAAAAGTACTAGATTATGACAATAAAAAGTACTAGATTTTTTTACAATAGTGGACTCTTTAAAAATGGACAAGATTTTACACTATTCTTTTCAATGAGTGATGGGCAAGATTTTATAAAAGTTGGCTTAATGAAATAAGGACTAGATTATAAAACCCAATTCAATGAAATATCAAAAGGTCACAACTCATTAAATTCTTACTGGCTCACCCACTTTCCTTTTGCTTTCTACAATGTCTCCAAATAATAACAAAAAAGTTGCTATGCTTTCTAAATTGGATCCAATAAATTCGACACAATCCGCCCACACTTTCAAATTCTCGTCGATTATAATAAAGCAATATATAAGCTCAGATGAGGACGCAAAAGGAGGATGGAACGGGAAGAAAGAGCAGAAAAAAAATTTTTAATTGGAAAACTTTATTCGCTTAAAAAAGTGTGATTCAATTA